ATTGTCGCGTTAAAACGGTATTCAAATTATATACTTTCTTCGGTCTTTTTGAGTGCATCTAACGTAGTTGCGATAATGTGTGATACTAGCAATAATGGGCAGCAAAGTCGTGTTGCTAGGTTAAACCAATTATTGTTATTACAAAACAATTCAAATGCGTGCGAAGTTATCTATTAACTGTCTTCGACAGCTAAACCAGGTGAAACCTGATAAGGTGATATTATCTTAATGTCATATTTATGCAGTCACTAATACTTATGTTCTGAACAATATGTAATACTGGAAATGTTAAGTTCAAGTAACATCTAGGTCAAAGAATTATTCATATGCAGCATGTAATTATAAAAGATGACTCACTGCAACATTGAAAATAGGGACATACTGTTGACATATTCTGTTGATATCAGTGAAATAAAAACTTGCAACAAGTCAAAAAGCGTCAGTGTTCTCTTTAAAGAAAAGTAACCAATGACTTATATGATTATATTGCTGTGAGTTCAGCTTATTTTTCATCATTTATTAAATATTTAAATGATACTCACTCTTGCCTCTGTTTCACCAAATATAGCCATAACTGAATGAGTAAATTGAATGCAGAAAGTTAGGAAGCTTCGGCCACTATTTGCTACCCCGAAGGTTTCGGCCACGGAAGTTTCGGTCACATACCTGTTTGATATATTATCGGATTGACTTCTTGTCATTATATATATTTACCTTGTAGATATAATCAATTCATTTCACAATTAATCGCGTTAATTAACGTTAATTTATTTGTGGTCACTAACTGATATTGACATTGCTTTTTGCCGTGTTAGCCAAATAGTACAGCCCAGGTACCAAACACCTTTGCAACTTCTTTTGATAGTAGCAAACACGATCTCATATAGTGTTTGGGTGCATTGATAGATATAACTTCGTGTGTTGTCATGATGTTACCAGCGATTGGCGCGAATGCAAGCTGATCAGCTTCTTGCGTTGTACATCAGAAAGAATACTATTTCAACGAAACAAAATTTGCAAACAATAATAGAAATTCAACAAGAAGACGATTCACCAAAATTTTAAACCATTAGAAATAAAATGGCAAACAAGGCTATTCATGAAATAATATAGGTTTATTGCAGATGAGCGTTTCCACTGCATTAATGCTGACGAAGAAATGAAAGAACCAAATACTAGCTGTAGACATCTGTCAAATATGTAATTAATACAGCATGCTCTGATGTCTGCGTACAGTGTTGTGTTTATTCGTCAGAACATGGGAAATCTGCAAAAGATGAATATAATGTATTATTCAAATTATATTCACGACTACTGCACCAAACGCACCACCAATCATAGAATATTTGTGCAAATTGATTATTGTGAGTCGTTTAAACATGATATGTAAATTAACAATTCGCCTTGTATGCAAATTGCCTTCGAGATCTCGATGAGAGAAAGTGAGACACCATCTATGTAACCATGTTATTTGACACAGTGGATGCAATGATGGCAATTCCGAGAATAATTACTAATCATGTACGAATAACAATACATTATACAATATACCCAAGCACAGTTGACCTTAAACGATCAGTACTTCGCCTAAAACTAGTGATCAATTTAATGTTTTTACCGGCTTCTAACATACACACGTATCCTTTCTTCTCAGAGCAATACTCATCATCAGAATTACCACGTTTCCTTGGTCTATACCTGTAAGTGAAATTGTATCCAATAGTTTATCTAGTCGACAAATTAATTTAAGTATGATTTCATTCCGAAATCAACGCTATATAAAAGCTGCCATCACGTGTTGTTTGAAATAAACTTGGATTGACAATGAGACACGCTATGTAGATATCAATGTGTTACATTTCTTACCATAATTGAACGCAGTTCTGTCCGTCGGAATCCTCTTTGATATTGTCGTTAGGTTCGTTCGTTTCCCATCTTACGAACTGCGTACACGGCTCATCAACATGCAACCATGTGAAGAGATCGGGCCGTGGCGGATCTCTGCGGGGTGATTTGCGTAATAGCCGATCCAGTATCCATAATTAAGGCAAGCTACGTAATCTAAATCAGCATAGATGATCTGCCGAATAGCTTGGTGGGTTGTCTGCTTATCACACATCTCGATTTCCCGTAAATGTATCCTACGTCTGTTGCATGTAATAGTAAACATGAAAAGGAAAGATCCAAACTTACCAACAGGTGTGATTACCCGTGATAATCTAATAATAACGAGAGATACAATATACAGCATCATCTTGAAGCGCGAATCTGTAATTCGGAACATGCAGAAACTGTTCGTCGTAGAAATAAATTCGGTGATAGAATATAATAATCGGACAGTGGGAATGGCCGAAGCATTGGCGAGCCATGGTGGTTATAATATGCAATATGTTTTAATTCAATATGTGAACAATAGCACGGTACGCTCAAAGAACAATGCATATAAACAATCAATAGATGTACTTCCTTTGTCATGAAATATATACTTTAATTGGAGTGGGATGTGTGAGAACAGAATGTGAAAATTGTTAGTACTCACCGGTATTTCCTTTGTCCCTAGAAGTTGTTGTAAAATCTGATTTGGTACTCTATACTAAAGTGCATAACGGGGGGGGGGGGTATTGTCCTATTATTTGTCACGAGTAGCAATGTTTATGGTAGAGAGGTACTTGGGCATTTACGTTGCTTTGATAGAACGCCCTCTATTATATATTTTTGAAACACAATTTGCAAGGTGATTTTGGAGTAATCTTTTGCGGGCGAAATGATGATTTGTGATTCACTCATACAAAATGCAATCAAAACATGTCAAAGTAAACAGTTTTCTGTAAATCTACTGACAATCTTTGGTTAGAAAAAAACAAATACCTAGCTGGCTGTACCAATAATTGGTCTACCCATTATAGTAGTCAGATGTTGCGGGATAACATCACATATATACTCTCTGAAATACACAATAGCTTTTTTTTTATCTCTGGCCATTACTTAATATCCTGTTAATTTGTAATTATGTGCTAAGGAATGTGAATTTTATTATCAAATGGACGATTGTCACAACTAAAACGGACTGTTGACATACAAATGACTTACGGCGTTTCTTTGAAAGTATCGATGATGGCATTTATCGGGTATGCCATGTGTTGTTGTTTGATGTCTAGTAGGCTGACATAAGCCAAGAGCTATGTTAGATCGTATTGCAGTTAGTAATTATATTTAAAAGTGCCGATAAGCTTTGATTTATGAAACCTGCCTTATTATGTGTGATGCTTTTGGAATTTAATTATGTTTCTTTTTTTCAAATTACAATTAAAAGACAAATCCTAATTATGTAGTAACTGAATTAGCACGGGGAGGGCGAGGAAAAAGGAGGGGTAACAAACGAGGGTAAGAAGCAGGGGCGGGGAGAGTTCATGTCTAGGCAACATTTGACTGTATTTTATTTAGTTACTGTACAACTACAGACTGGTGACAAGAGATACATAAAGATGGTTTATGGCAGTCTTTTGAAAGTACCGATGATGATGTTTCCCATCTATATCATATGTTATCCTTTGATCTGTAGTGTTTAAATAAGACGTGAACTATTTCTATATCCAATATTTCAAAGTGCCGATAATCTCTGATATAAAGAACCTGCTTTTTTTTGAATAAAATCATGATTAAACCTCATGATTTTGACAGCAAGTTATATAATATTTTAATTTGTTAGTTTTTGAATAGCCGTGTTAAAGTGACGCAGCTCTGCGTGTGAGAGCCTGTCAAAATAGTCCCAGGACAACAGTACTTTTTGAGGAAATATTTATATTATTTTTCAACGTGGATGTCATATAGTCATCTTCCGACCCGTTACCAACCTGTGTGTCTTGTAATATTGTTGTAAGTCACATTTATTTTATTTTATTTATTTATTGGCATCCGTGGAGACAATACTTTTTTGATTGTCGATTAATCGAGTTTGCTACACCAAAACCATACATGGTTTTCGAAATACTTGTGTTTTGTGTTAAACTTCGTTCTGTGAACTTACCAGGGTAAGAGTTCATTCGGACCATCTCTCCCATAAGGTCTCATGTCACTAATCAACCAATGGTGGCTCGAATCAATTTAAATGCCTTGTAAGAACCAATGACATCCTTTAAATATTTTTTCTCAGGTGGTCGCTGTTAGAGGGCGTAATCACCTGGGTCAAAGGTGTGGTCTTTTGTTCACTACTGGGCGGCTGTGTTTATTCTGTGTGTATTTGAATGTTCTAATCTTGGCGTTTTTCCAGTGATTTCTCTAGGTGCAATCCAAATACAGTAGGTGTGTCTTGTTTACCTGAGATTTGTAAGAGTTTGAGCTGGACAACATGTTAGCTTTTTTCATGTGGTTGATTACTGGCATGTTGATTTACCATTTTTGAGCCATGTTTTCAATTTTGTTTATCATTTTCATATAGCAATCTTGTCATATGTTAACATTGTCGTCTATGGAAATTAAATTAGTGGTATGAGCCCATAACTGTATATAATAATATGTGTGTGAGATCAAGGAAGACCGAGATCCGCAAACAATTTCATTAGAGGGCACCCAGTATTTGCAAAAACCAAACTGTTAGCATTGCATGCCATGACTGAAACTGATGATAAATTAAAATATAAAAAAAGGACAGTATCCTGAGTCGGTCATGTAGTTTGAGACATCACTATATCGGAGACTGTTGTTTTAATTCTAGTGAAAGTTTCACTACAAACAAAAACTGTGAATTCTATACAAGTTAACAACAACAATCATAATTCAATTAAACATCAACAACAAAAACATCACCAGCAACAACAATACAAATTCAACGAAATGACAAC